ATAGGAGAACACGGAAGAGAAAGGAGGAACCTTCGGGGCTGGAGGAGCCGGCTCAGCCCGGGCTGGCACAGCAGAGCTGTTGGCACCTTCGTATTCTGTGGTGTAAAGGAAGGTGGGGATGATCGGAACTGGAAGAAAAGGCAGGAAAGGGGTGAGTTAGTGATTTTACTCCATTTTCTGGTTCAGCACGTGGATGGACTGAATGGTGGTGGCTAGATGTCAGCCTCCAGCAAGCTCCCGGCTCCCAGCCCTCCCCGCAGCTCTCCCTGCACAAGGATCCTGCCGGCATCATCCTGAGACCGACCGAGGAGCCGAAACCCCGAGGTGGCACCCGAAGAGCAGCGTGAGAGCCGCGCCGTACCCACGACTGTCAGCAGCATGTTGTCCAGCAGCAGCGCGACGAACACCACCCCCAGCACCAGCCTCCGAGACGCCCTGCCCGCTGCCAGCCAGCGCCAGGGCGCGCGCGCCGCAGCCGAGGGCATGGCCGGAGCTCAGCCTGGGTCCTGCTGGCGCCCGGTCTTCAGGACTGAAGGTCTCCTGTGACCTTTAAAGAAAATACTCTGAGTTACAACCTCGCACAGCTCGTGGCTTCTCGCTTGAGAAGGTGACTCCTGAGGTCACTTAGTGGCCGTGTCCTCCACGAGCTGAGCGCTCTTCCCGAGGAGCCGGGACCACCAACTTTGCTGTCAAAGACCGTGGTTTTGTTAAACTTGCATTTAAAGTTGCAGATGGAGTGTGCTCCAACCCACTTCCACTCTCCCGAGACATCTTGTACCTGCTTCGAGGCATCGTTTAAGTCTTCCTCCAAAGACTCAAAGCACAGATCAAGCTTATCAGTGGTAATCTCAACATCTTTTATTCCATGTTTGTTCTTTGGAGATTAAATTAGGTCTCAAAGGAAATTCATTTACCTTGCATGTCTTTTCATTTGACCTAATTGAAATGTCATGGCAAGATACAAGACTTAAAAGCTGAACATACATGATTAAGATCAGGGCTTCAGAGGGACTGAGAGAAGGTTGCTTGCTCAGTCACATCGAAAAGATCAATCAGAAATTTGCACTAAACCAAGCAAAAAATTAGCCATTTACATTCTCATAGCTCGTAGGCACTTCAGAGGCTAAGCACCAAAATGGATGGAGCTGGGGCCGAAGTATCACTAAAACTCTTTCCAATAATCCTGTGGTTTCCTGAAATCCCAGCCAATGATATTTATCAATTTTTAATCAAAAAAAGCAAACCATCCCAATCACCTGTCATTGAATGTGAGTGCCACACAAGTTGCTTAGTTGGGGAACAGGGATGGTTTCTCCTAGTAGTAGCAAAGACCAAATAATAGAATTAATGCAAGAGAAGAGAGAGAGAGAGTTAAGGATTAGAGAGAGAGAATGAGTAAGGAAGCAGAGGTGATGAAGACGTGTAGACTAATGCAGCCCCTACATCTCAAGCCACGAACCCTGTCCCCTTCTCAACGCAAAACTGTTGGGTGGAGCAGAGGAAAGCAAACTCTTACCCCGGAGCCCATCTGGGTGCAAGGAGCCGACTGCTGCTGCGGGAGATGGTGTGTGCTGTGGCCGCTGCTCCCGGGGGATTTATGGCTGCCGTTTATCAGAAGAGGATATGAGTGTCCCTCTTCCGTGGAGATTTAATTGGAACCTCAAACAAGTTTCATTCAGCCCTGCAGCTCCCTCTGCGTCAGAGCAGGACGCTGGGGTGGGCTGAGGGCTGTGAGGAGGAGAGAGGCAGGAGTGTTTATCTGCAGCAGAGGCACCCGATCTCCAGGCTGTCATCAACGCTTATCTCTCCGAGCACCTTAACTCTTGCCTGGGTCCGAGCACACCGAACACGCCGCGCTGGGACTGCACAGCCCTCTCCTTCCTGGGGGACGCCTGCTCTGCCCCATCGGTGGGTCCTTACGAGTGGCAGCGATTGGGTTCATCAGTGGGAGGCAAGGCTGGCATCATTAAACGGCTCTGGGAAATGCATTTATAAAAAACCCATAATAGTTTGGGACTTGGACTACTGTCCAGTGACTGACGGCCGTTCTCTCGCTGCCTAACGCTGCTTGTCCGTGGCACGGCTGCCCTCGTTCCGACTGTGGCTCCGCGTTACACATCCCGGGGAACAACCAGGCAGATTTCACCCATGACACCTGCAGCACCCCAGGGGTGTTTGGGGAACTCCAAAACTCAGGGAGCACAATTAGAAGGAAGAATGATGTCCCGTCAGCTGCTCTTCTCCGCTCCCTCCGCACGTGTTTGCGCGTCGCCGGGGGCCGTACGTGTGCATTTACGGGGTTGAGCCCGCGGACGTTGGCAGCAGGTGCCGTGCCTGATGCTTTCTGAGAGGTACAGGGGAACGTCACCTCCCCTGGCTATCAACAGGTTGTGGTCCCTCCACATCCCAGTTTTGCTCCCGCAG